GAGGCGGTGCCGCCGCTCGCGGCCCGAGGTCTTGCGTGTCACCTCGGGTTGGGGTGTCGCGGGGCTGAGCCGGGCCAGGTTCCCAGCGGGAACGGCCTGGGTCTCCTCCCACCCCGCCAGCACCTCCCGCGGCTGCTCGGAGGGCCCCGTGCTGCTTTTGGGGCTCCCGGAGACCCGCTACTTGGCTTCAGGGACGCCAGGAGGAGCGGGCGCCCGCGGGGAGGAATTCGGAGGGCGGGAGCGCCGGGCCCCAGGCCGCCCAGACCACTCGCCTCTACCCCCGGGACCCCCGCGGCAGCGAGCTGGGGGCGGCCGCGGGGCGGGGCTCCCTGGTCGGCGGGAGGTATCCAGCTAGCTTCCCCAGCCCGGACCCGCGCCAGGCATCCTAGCCAGGGGCTCCTCCTTCCCTCCTTAGGCTGCGGCGCCCCGGCGGTCAGGTGTCCCCGCGCCCGCCTTGGAGCCGTCCAGGTTTGATCTACGGAGTCGCGAGTCCTTCTGTGGCCCCCGGCGCGGCCCTGGCTCGGGGTCCGCTTCCTTGGCGTCTTAGGGGCAAGGAAGCCGAAGCCTCCGCCGCGTGGCGCTGACCTGCCCTTTGCCAGCATCGAGTGCTCATCGATTGGAAGCAAGTGGCTCCAATCCTCACGCACTGGAAAACGATTTTCCCAGATGCGCGGGCCTGGTGCGCTCTGAAAGCGACAGGCAGTCGATCCGTGCCTCTGATCTGCGTGAACTGGGAGTCGTCTTCTCAAAGATTTCCCCAGGCAAGATTTGACACTCAGTACTCGGGGGATTGGAGTCCTGGGTCCATTAAGCAAGGTCCAGGATCCCAGGTGCAGAGAAGGCAAGGTGGTAAGCAGCCTCCACCTGGCTGTGCACATCCTGTCCAGCATAACCAAAACCCCTGCATCAGCCTTCCTCCTGGGCATCTCTGCTATACAGGCATACCTCCTTTTATTGCGCTTCGCAGATAATTACTGCGCTTTTCACAAACTGAAGGTTTGTGGCAACCCTGCTTTAAGCAAGTCTGTTGAAGCCATTTTTCCAACAGCATGTGCTCACTTCACATCTGTGTGTCACATTTTGGTAACTCTCGAAGTATTTCATTATTATTATATCTGTTATGGTGATCTTTGATCAGTCATCTTTGATGTTACTATTGTAATTGTTTTGGGGCACCACAAACCTCGGCCATATAAGAAGGTGCACTTAATCTGTAAATGCTGTGTGTGTTCTGACTGCTCCACTGATTGACTGTTTCCCCATCTGTCTCCCTGTTCTCAGGCCTCCTTATTCTCTGAGACATGACAATATTGAAATTAGGCCAATTAATAACCCTGCAATGGCCTCTAAGTGTTCAAGTGAAAGGAGGAGTTGCACATCTCTGACTTTAAATCAAAAGCTAGAATGATTAAGCTTAGTGAGGAAGACATGTTGAAAGCCGAGACAGGCCGAAAGCTAGGCGTCTTGCGCCAGTTAGCCATGTTGTGAATGCAAAGAAGTTCTTGAAAGAAATTAGAAGTGCTGCTCCAGTGAACACATGAATGATGAGAAAGCGAAGCAGCCTCATTGCTGATATGGAGAAAGTTTTAGTGGTCTGGATTGAAGATCAAACCAGCCACAACATTCCCTTAGACCGAAGCCTAATCCAGAGCAAGGCCCTAACTCTCTTCATTCTCTGAAGGCTGAGAGAGGTGAGGAAACTGTAGAAGAAAAATTTGAAGCTAGCAGAGGTTGGTTCATGAGATTGAAGGAAAGAAGCCGTCTCCGTAACATAAAAGTGCAAGGTGAAGCAGCAAGTGCTGATGTAGAAGATCGAGCTAAGATAATTGATGAAGGTGGCTACGCTAAACAACAGATTTTCAATGTAGATGAAACAGCCTTACATTGGAAGAAGATGCCATCTAGGACTTCCATAGCTAGAGAGGAGAAGTCAGTGCATGGCTTCAAAGCTTCAAAGGACAGGCTGACTCACTTGTTAGGGGCTAATGTGCTGGTGACTTTAAGTAGAAGCCAATGTTCATTTACCATTCCGAAAATCCTCAGGCCCTTAAGAATTATGCTAAATCTATACTGTCTGTGCTTCATATTGGAACTACAAAGCCTTGATGACAGCACATCTGTTTACAGCATGGTTTACTGAATATTTTAAGCCTGCTGTTGAGACCTATTGCTCAGAAAAAAAAAAAAAATTCTTTCAAAATATTACTGCTCACTGACAATGCACCTGGTCACCCAAGAGCTTTGATGGAGATGTACAAGGAGGTTAATATTGTTTTCATCACTGCTAACACATCCATTCTGCAGCCCATGGATCAAGGAGTAATTTCAACTTTCAAGTCTTATTATTTAAGAAATACATTCCCTAAGGCTGTTGCTGACATGGAAACCCTGGTGGTGTAGTGGTTAAGAGCTATGGCTGCTAACCAAAAGGTTGGCAGTTCAAATCCACTAGGCGCTCCTTGGAAACTATGGGGGAGTTCTACTTTGTCCGATACCGTCACTATGAATTGGAGTTGACTCGACGGCAATGGGTTTGGTTTTGGTTGGTTTATTGCTTCCATAGATACTTATTCCTCTGATGAATCTTGGCAAAGTAAACTGAAAAACCTTCTGGAAAGGATCACCATTCTAGATGCCATTAAGAACGTTTGTGATTCATGGGAAGAGGTCAAAATATGAACATTAACAGGAGTTTGGAAGAAGTTAATTCCAACCCTCATGGATGACTTTGAGGGATTCAAGGCTTCAGTGGAGGAAATAACAGATGTGGTAGATACAGCAAAAAAACTAGAATTAGAAGTGGAGCTTGAAGATGTGACTGAATTGCTGCAATCTCATGATAAAACTTTTTAACAGATGAGGAATTCCTTCTTACGGATAAGCAAAGAAAGTGGTTTCTTGAGATGGAATCTACTCATGGTGAAGATGCTTGAACGTTGTTGAAACAACAAATGGTTT